TGCCCTAGATCAAGGTTTTAAAGAGTAATCCCAGGACCTGTGGAGGTTCCCAAGACCCTTTGGGGGTCTGTGAAGTCAAAATTATTCTTGTGATAATACTTAGTCATTTATTTATCTTTTTACTCTTGTTTTCCCACAAGTACACAATGGAGTTTTCCAAAGGTCACACAACACAGGCTATCACAGCAGGCAGAATACAAAAGCGCATGAAAATCCAGTCATCATCTATTACTAAAGTCAGACATTAAGAGGTTTGCAAAAATGTAAAGCACTATCACTCTTCTCACTCAATTTTTGTTTGTAAAAATATAGGGTTTTTTCCCCCACAAAATTATGTTATTTGTGTTAACATGAAATGGGTTTATTGTTTCCAAAATAAATTAATATTTGAAAATTTTTCAGATACAATTTCTAATATGCTAAATAGCAATAGATACAAACACATAAAAACTCTTTGGGGCCCTCAATAATTTTTAAGGGTATAAAGGTGTCTCGAGACCCAAAAGTTTGAGAAATACTGCCCTAGGTGAATGGTTGGTGCTTCTATCTGAAGCCAATTCCTCCACTTAAACCCCATCCTCTCACAAACTCCAGAAATTCTCCCTGCTCTCTCACACACTTATCAATGTTTTCTTCTCTATGGAATCATTCCCATTAACATACAAACATGCGATTTCTTCCATGTTAAAACAAAAGCAAAAACAAAATAAAACAAGACCTTCTCCTGACTTCACTTTCTCTGCCAGCTGCTGCCCCATTTCTCTGTTGTCCTTTGCACCAAACCTCTCCAAAAGAGTAGTCTCCACTCTGATCCAGAATTCCTCTCTCCCACTCTCTCTTAAATCTACTGCCATCAGGTTTTTCCCGTCTTCCCATTCCACTGAAACTCCTCATTAAGGTCTCCAAGGTCCCCAATTCCCTTAATATTGCTAAATCCCCATTTGATATAATGAATCATTCTGAGGTTGGAAGTGGGACTCGACTCTGGAGGCTCGGCTCGGACACAGGACCAAATTGAGGACTAGCTAAAATAGGTCTGGGGCAGAAGCAGCTTTCCGTAAGACATGCCCACCAGTGCTCCATATCAGTTTACCATTGCCATGACAACATCTGGAAGTAACCACCCCTTTCCATAGCAACGACACGAACACCTGGAAGATACCACCCTTTTCCTAGAAATTTCTGTATAAACTGCACCTTAATGTGCATATAATAAAAAGTGGGTATAAATATGAGTGCAGAACTGCCTTTGAGCTACTATTCTGGGCACAATGCCTAGGGGGTATCCCTACTCTACAAGGAGCAGAACCTCAGCTGCTGCTGTACACTGTTGCTTAAAAACAGTTGCTGTTTAACAGCACCAGCTCTCCCTGGAATTCTTTCTTGGGAAAAGCCAGTAACTCTCCCTGGCTGAGCCCTAATTTTGAAGCTCACCTGTCCTCCATCAAGTCTGTCTTCCTCGATATGAAGGCATTTCTCAGTTTGCACAGTTCCAAGATGCATGAATTTCGACTACTACCATTTAGTAAAATAATCCATTCCCCCAACAACATGGTTCAAATTTCAGTCAACACAGTTATTAACTATGAGTAACTGCATAAAGTACAAACTTATCTGTCAGGACTTTAGTCCACTAACCATAATGTAATTAAACAGATGCATATCACCATCAGTGACAATTACATCACTTCTTTCAAAGTCTGTTTGTGAATGGTCACTGTATATTTGTTTTATAGTTCGCGCAGACAGTAAAGTGTGTAGCTATGTTGCCTCCTCGTCTCTCAGTGATACACAAACTGTATTTTACAAAAATGGATAATCAAAAGAGAGAAATGGCCAATAAGGATGAAAGTACAGCAAAGATGCAAGAAGTGAATTCAAGTCAAATATAAATGGAGTTACAGAAGAGAAAGCTGACTGTAGGAATGTCGACACAGCTGCCTTTCAAGAGACTCTAGATGTGCAGCCAGTGGAAACTGGTGAAGGCAAACCTATCAACACAAATGAGAAAAGTGGTTGAAATGAAAAGAATGAAGATATCCCAGATGCCTGTAAAATGCTTCACATTAAAAGAACTCTCAGAGATATTTCATTCTCATTAAAGGAAGTCTAAGAGATATTTTATAACATTGAAAGCAAAAATCATAAAATGTTGGAAGTTGATCCATCTTAAACAGGAGTATGACAATTCACCAAGGCATAGAACAGATGTTCACTCTGTATCATAAGTTATACAATGAGAAGTAGGCAAGTGCCGCTCAAACCACTTTTGATAAAGTTTTTATAAAGCAATAAAACACTTTAATTCTTAATGTCATCAATGTTTTAAATTTCAGTGTGCTAAGTAAAAATTAGTTTTACTATTTTTTCATGTTCTTATACATTTATAACCATCAAAGTTTTTAATGTTGTGAAAAAAATTTTTTTTTTTTTTGAGACAGAGCCTTGCTCTGTTGCCCAGGCTGGAATGCAGTGGCGCAATCTTGGCTTACTGCAACCTCCGCCTCCTGGGTTCAAGTGATTCTCCTGCCTCAGCCTCCTGAGTAGCTGGGATTACAGGTGCGCACCACCATGCCTGGCTAATTTGTTTGTATTTTTAGCAGAGATGGGGTTTCACCATGTTGGTCAGGCTGGTCTCGAACTCCTGATCTCATGCTCCGCCTACCTCAGCCTTCCAAAGTGCTGGGATTACAGGCATGAGCCACCGTGCCTGGCAGTGACAAAAATTTTTAAAGGGCACAGAACAATTGTACATTTTCCCTTTGATTATTAAAATTGTTTTGCATGTTATTTTTGTACAGTCTTACGCTACCATGTAAACAAGGAACTACCTGTAATTTCTTCATTTGGCATCCAGGACACCACATTCACTTGGTTTTCTTCCTGCTTCATTGGTTTTCCTTTTCAGTTTCCTTAATTCTAAGTGTTGGTGGACCCCAGAGCTTAGTTCTTGGAGCCATTCTTTTCTTTATCTACACTAACTCCTTTAGAGACTTCATCCAGGCCAGGAACAGTGGCTCATGCCTGTAATCCTAGCACTTTGGGAGGCCAAGGAGGGAGAATCACTTGAGTCCAGGAATTCTGGGCAATAAACTGAGACCCCTGTCTCTACTAAAAATTTAAAAATTAGCTGGGCATGGTGGCATGCACCTGTAGTTCCAGCTACTTGGGAAGCTGAAGTGGGAGGATCTCAGGAATTTGAGGCTGCAGTGAGCTATTATTCCACTACCAGCACTGCATGCCAGCCTGGGTGACAGAGCGAGATCCTGTCTCAAGAGAGAGACAGAGAGAGATGTCATCCAGTCTCACAGCCTAAAATATCACTATATGCCAACAACTCCCACATTTATATCACCAGCCCAGACCTCTCACTCAAACTCCAGATTTACCTATCCAACAGACTATATGTTCTCGACTTGGCTGTCTTAAACCTAATATACAATATATCCAGAACTGAAATCACCACCCCAACCAACAAAGAAGGCAACTGTTCTACCCACAGCCCGCATCTTCCCCATCTCAGGTGATCACAATTTCTTCCTTCCAGTTGCTCAGGCCAAACATCTTGGAGTCCTCCTTAACTATTCTTTTCCCCTCACATCCCCTAGAAAATCTGTCTGAAGTCCAATTGGTGCTACCTTCAAAATATATCCCAATCAGACCACTTCTCCCCACCTCCACTGATACCACCATCCTGGGCCCAGACATCACCATCTCTTGGAATACTGCAATAGTCTCTTAACTAATCTCTCTTCTAATCTATTTTCAACACAACAGCTGGAATAGTTCTTTTAAAATATATGTCAAATCTTGCCACTCCTCTATTCAGATGCCCCTGCTCCCAAAGGCTCATTTCATTCAGACAAAAAAGCCAGCACCTTTCCAAAGACCTAGTAAGTCCTACACAATCTAGCCCATTGTTAATTTTCTAATTCCATCTCCTACTCCTCTTCCTCTCACTCACTCCATTTCAGCTACCCTCACTGGCCTACTTCTTCCCAATGTTCGTTGAGTACTGTAAGTAAGATATGCTAGCATTTAGGGCCTTTGCATGCACCATTTCCTCTTCCTGAAAAGCACTTCCTCCAGAAACCCACCCAGCTAACTCCCCTCAAGTGGTTGTTCAGTGTCACCTCAAGGTACAACCACATACCCTGACCTACCTTCACAACCTACTGCCACTCTCCAGAAACACTTATTACTCTTAATTTGCTCCATTTTTTACAGCATTCATCACCCAATATACTGTATAATTTATTTGTGCTATTGTCTATTTCCTGCTGCTTGGAAGGTCAACTCAATGTGGGAGGCAACTTCTTGTCTACTTTGTTTACCGATAAAAGTCCAAGGGCCTGGTGATAGTCTCTGACACATAGTAGGCATTTAATAATTATAGCTGACCCTCTTACAACAAGAATTTGCATTGCACAGGCCCACTGATACCTGGATTTTCTTCTGCTTTGCCACCCTTGAGACAGCAAAACCAACCCATCCTCCTCAACCTACTCAACATGAAGATGAGGATGAAGACCTTTAAGATGATCCACTTCCACTTAATGAATAGTAAATAATTTTCTCATTCTTATGATTTTCTTAATTTCATTTTCTCTAGCTTACTGCATTGTAAGAATACAGGATGCAATACATACGACATAGAAAATATGTGTTAATCAACTGTTTATCAGTAAGGCTTACAGTCAAGAGTAGGCTATTATAGTTAAGTTTTGGGGTGTCAAAGTTATACACGAATTTTCAACTGTGCAGAAAGGCTGGTACCCCTAACTCCCACACTGTTCAAGGGGCAACTGTATTTGCTAAATAAATAAAGTTGAAAAAGTTACAAATTACTAGTTATTACACTGACACAGGGAACCTTCTGTTTATGTCTAATAATTCCCACCTGGTGAGAGAAATCGGAAAATCTAAAATGTGATTACTCAAAGTCAGAATTACTTCCTGAATATCTTGAGTATGCCAAACCCTAGCAATCAAACACATACCTTTCTGATTCTGAAGCAGGCGCTTCTAGCTTTCGGACATGTTTCTGAACTGATGCGAGTGCTTCTGGTGAATACTGGGCAGCATTGCTCTCCATGTATTTCAAAACATACTCGTCTGTATCAAGGATGATGAACCGGTGACCAAATACTGGAGAGAAGGTAGCAGTACACTTAGCTTGGTGATGTTCTCTCACGCAATCAGAAGTAAAATAGTATTAACCCTCCTATGATAAATTAACCCTCCTATGATAAATTATGCATTTATGACAGAAACTAATGAGCTTTCTTTAAATGACATACTAATATGCAGTCATTTGCTCAGTATTTACAAAACTTACTGTCGACATCTGTAGCCAACAAATGCAATCAACTTAGAGTTTAATTGATTAGGAAGGCAATTAACACATTATACCATATATACAAGGATAGTAGCTTTATCTCAGTTGTAATATAATCTAATTGCTTCTTACAAGGGTAAAATGAATTAAATTCCAACTAAGAACTCATTCAGGCAGCCAGTAGGAAATTCTGGACTGTATTTAGACCTACCCTCAATCACAGCACCAATGAAGAAGTCACTGGGGCCATAGTAGATAGGGTTGTCCACTGTAGAGTATGGTTTAACAACTTTAGTCCTGCCAAGGTACTTGCCACCAATGATACCAGAATTGCGAACAGGAGGCTCAAAGATACTGATCATGTCAGTAGCCAGAAAGTAAGAGAAGACAAATCTCCGGTCTTTGTCTTCTGGGATGGGGGATTCCTATAAAGGTAAAGAAAAGAGGATATTATGAAGGTTCATGGTCTATGCAGATGTGCAAACTTAAATGCCTACAGGGGCCAGGTATAGGATATATATGAAGCAGTCTGGGTTCTTACAATATAAACAAACCATCTATGGGGGAACTCTGGTATCTCTGGGAAGAACATGCCTCATCTAAGGGAGGCTTCCCAAGGGAGGCCGCACCAACGCAACTCAGTTGTTGCCTTGTGAGAATGTAGGCCCAATGTTGCTAGATCTTTCAGTTTTTCAAAAGATAAAAATGTGGATTACTATTTTAAACCTCTGATTTTAAAGTACTGACTCCAACTCTTTTAAAGCACCATGAAGCCCAAACACAGTATACTAGAACATATATGTGGGCTACATTCTGACCACAGGCTGCTAGCTCAGACCTGTTGGCTGATATTATGTTCAACTTCATGAACACTAAGATGATTAAGTAAGGTTTTGTTTTTTAAGCAAATGTATATACATAATGTAAAAAAAAAAAATTTAAAAAGAGGGGATAAGAGTAATATAAAATCAAAGAATTGAAAGTGATTCTGAGAAACTACCTTGTAGACAAGACTTTTTCTAAATCAAATTGCAGAGTGATCACACAACCCCTAAGGAAGAAATTCCAGCTCCAACAAACCTTAATACAGCTCTGCTTATTCCTAAAATCCACTCATACTGTAACTGTAGCACATCTTCTCATTAAGACCATGGGATTGTTTGTATAATAGTTCTTCATCTATTAAGGAAGTCATTAGATTTTCCTCTTAGTGAAATAATTTTCTCATATCATTCCCTCATCTAATAGTTTCCAAATCATTTGGATTATACACCCATGTAATAAAAATATAAATGTTAAACAATCACAATATAGTTAATAAAAATCAAATCATATCACTCCTCTGCTCTCAAACCTTCAAAGAATTCTTGTCATACTTAGAATAAAATACAAAGTTCTAAGCAGGGGCATACCAGGGCCATTGGGGGTGACAATGGTAATGGTTTACCATGGCAGGAAAGAGTACTATAAAACTTAAAAAAAATTATTGTCTTTATTGGGAATGAGGTTTACATTTATAGAAAACCTGCATAAATATTACAGAGAATTCTCACTCCCCTCACCAAGGTTCTCCTAATGTTAACATCCTATATAGCCATTAGTGCAATTATCTGAACCAGCAAAATAACAATAGTATGACATTAATAAATAAACTACAGTCCTTATTCAAATTTCACCTGTTTCTGACAAATGGTCTTTTTGTTTCAGGATCCCATCCAGGATCCCACATTGTATTTAGTTATTATTTCTCTTGAGTCTCCTCCAATATGTGATAGATAGTTCCTCAATCTGCCCTTCTCTTTCATGACTTTGACACTTTTGAAGACTACTGATCAATTATTTTCTTGAATGTTCCTCATGTATCTCATTTTTGCATTTTTGGCAAAAGTATCCCAGAAAAGATGTCATGTCTTTAGTGTATACCAGGGAGTTTATGAAGTCAATATATCTTATTATGGATGACACTAACCTTGATCACTTGGTTAAGATTTCTGCTGGATTTCTTCCCTTAAACTTACCGTATTTCCCTTTGCAATTACAAAACACCTTGCGGGAGATGTTTTGAGATTATGGGAATCCCGTTTCTCCTCAAAGGTTTTCCCACTAATTTTAGCAGCCATTGCTGGATCTTATCTGCAACCGTGATTACAGCAGTGTGTGCATAATGATAATTTTTCTACTTCCCACTTTTCTTTTACATTTATTAACTGAAATTCTACTGTACGGAGGAGCCATCCCTTTGGGGATGAGTATCACTGATGTTGTTTAGAATTACAGGCAAATGATAAGAAGAAGAAACAGACCAACTTTTAATTGGTTTTATTTTTAAATTCTCTGCAGCTTGTTATCTATACTTTCTTGTTACCTGGACTGCTCCCATCAGCCCATTCCTCTGGCCTTGTTATACCACTGGTTGCAGAGCCCTGGCTGGCCGCCGACCTGTCATTTCCACCTTTTTGCCCTCCATTCACTGCACACTGTCTCGGTCTTACATGCAGCTCTCTCAGATATTCCCCTGGCTGGCTCCCTCAGCTATTCCTTTGGTTTCTGCTCTGCTATGACCTCTTCAGAGAGGCGTTCCCCATTCTGCTGATATAAATGAGCCCCTTTCCCATCATTCTCTGTCTCGCTTTATTTTTTACAGCACGTTACTACCTATCCTTATACAATGTATTTATTTGACTAGAATGTAAGCTCCATGAGAGCAAATATTTGTCTATCTTGTTCTCCACTGTACCTTTGGAATCTAGAACCATATCTAGCCCAGAGTAGTCCTTTAATATTTATTGAATGAATTAATAATTAAACATATGTTCTTCTATATAAATATAGTTTGTGCATTAAAAGGCACATATAAAAATATCAGAGGCTATACAATAAATGCACTCATAGTAAATAAAATAAACAGAGGCTGTAATATTTTCTTGACAAACACTACAGATAGTACTGTCTTGCATCTCTTGGAAGACATTCAGCTGCTTTGAAGATCACGGTTCAGATCATGTTTCTTATGCTCTTCCAAAGCTTTGCCAAGTGTCTCAGCCAGCACTCCACTCTCAGTCCCAGAGAGTTTACCAGCATACTTTTACTTAGGCACCAATTGCCTATCAGAACTTAGTATACATTGTTTTCTCAGAACACATCCCGTGTCTTTGTCTGACCTCCATGGGACTTAATTGTCTCTGATCATTTCTCTAGCATACTCCCTTCTTTTTGAATTTCCATATATTTTCTTTTGAAGTCCCCACCTCACTCATAAACCTTTTCCCCTTATTGTCAAGCACCCTTTCTTCCTCAAGAACTTTTGTGATGAGTCTAACGAATACATTCTCTATTTCGTCAAATAGGTCAGGGGAAAACATCTGAAAATTACCATGACCAGAATATCGCTTCTTTTTTCCTGCCCACATGAAGATATCCACTATTTCTTGACTAATAGTTCTGTTGGCTTTCTTTTAAATTTTTTTACTGTGAACAGTAACACAGAGAGAAAACTACAAAAAAACCCAAAACAACAATAAAAATACCAAAATGTATGGCCGAAAGAATTTTAATGAAGTGAGCAACCATATAACCACCATCCAGGTTGAGAAACAGAACGCTGACAGAACCTCCCAATCAATATTCTATCCTTCCCCCACCGAACAGGCCATTGCCTTGAATTGTATGGTTTTCTTTAGTTTTGCTATAAAGCAGACATCCATAAAGTTTTGTTTTGTCTGCTTTTTAATCTTCATATAAATGAAATTACATAATATGCATGCATTCTTTTGTGTCTGGATTCTTACATTCAAAATTATGTTGATGTGATTCAGCCATGTTGTTATTAGTAGCTGTAGTTCATTGATTTTCATTGAACAGAAATCAAATTATGACACAAATATGCCATAACTTATCCAGTCTCTTGTAGTAGACATTTAGGTCTATTTTTGCTATTATGAATTATGCTATTATAAACATTCTTAACTTTTGGTACACATATATTGCACCCTTAGCACAATCTAGTATATTTGATTATGCCAGTGTTTTACAAAGTGGGTATACTCTCTTAGTAAAGAGTATGAGAGTTCCTATGGTTCCATATTCTCATCAACATATTAATGATTCTGATGGGTGGGTAGAGGCAACTCACTATGATTGTAATCTGCACTTCTTTAGTTACTAACGAAGCAAAGCAACTTCTTTAGTTACTAACGAAGCAAAGCAACTATGTACACATTTTTAAAGACAGAGTTTCTGTTGCCTGGGCTGGAGTGCAGTGGCAGGATCATAGCTCACTGCACCTTCGAACTCCTGGGTTCAAGTGATCCTACCGCCTTAGTGTCCCAGGTAGCTGGGACTATAGGCACATGCCACCATGCCCAATTAATTTATTTTTTTATCTTTGTAGCGGTAGGGTCTCATTATGTTACCCAGGCTGCCTTCAAGCGATCTTCCTGCCTCGACCTCCCAAAGTGCTGGGAAAACAGGTGTGAGTCACTGCACCTAGCCCTTCTTATATGTTTAGTTGCCTCTTGGATATCCTCTTTTGTGAAATACCTGTTCAAGTTTCTTGCTCATTTTTCTAAGTGATTTCAGAATGTTCTTTACATATTCTGAATATAAGATCTTGGTTGATTTCTGTATTAAACATCTGCTCCCACTTGAAGTTTGCCTTTTTTTACACTCTTAATGCTGTTTTTTGGAAGAACAGAAAGTTTTCATCTTAATGTAGTCAAATTTGTCCATTTTATTTTATTTTAATTTATTTAGAGCCTCGCTCTGTCACCCAGGCTGAAGTGAAGAGGCACAATCTCAGCTCACTGCAACCTCTGCCCCCCAGACGCAAGTGATTCTCCTGCCTCAGTCTCTCAAGTAGCTAGGACTACAGGCATGTACCACTATGCCCAGCTAGTTTTTTGTATTTTTAGTAGGGACAGGGTTTCGTCATGTTGGCCATGCTGGTCTCAAATTCCTGAGCTGGGGCAGCTGCCCGCCTTGGTCTCCCAAAGTGCTGGGATTACAGGCATGAACCACTGTGCCTGGCCATTTATCCATTTTAAAAACATGACTGCTATTTTGTATCCCACTAAATAAATCTTCCCCCACTATAATGTTAAGATTATTTATTGCTAAGAAGTTTTATTGTTTTGCTTTTCACATTTAGATTTTCCATCTACCTAGACTTGATTGCCACTTTTGGTGTGAGATGGAGGTCAAATTTTCTTCTCTTTTGAATATCTAATTGTTCTGATATCATTGATTAGAAACATCTTCCTTTCCCAGCCCCTCTGCAGTGCTGTATTTATCATATGTCTTTTCCTGGGGTGTCTACTCTATTCCATTGGTTTGTCTATCCTTGCACCAAAAACATGTTGTTTTAATTACTGTAACTTTTAATACGGAGTGATATTTTGGTGAGCAAAATCCACTGATCTTGCTCTTCTCCAAGAGTATCTTGGCTATTCCTGGTGCTTTGCCTCTCCACTTAAATTACAGAATCAATTTGTCTGTAAAAATAAAAACATTTTTAGATTTTTTGACTGTAATTACTTTTAAACCATAGATCAATTTGGGGAAAATATTTTTGTAATACTGAATTTTCTAACCAATGAACATGGTATATCCCTTCATTTATTTAGGTCTTCTTAATTTTCTCTCAATAATATTTTAGCTGTTACATATCTTTTGTATATAACACCTAAAAGATACATAACACCTAAAGTCTTTTTGTATGTAACATCTAGGTGTTACATATCTTTTGTATGTAAAAGATATCACATATCTTTTGTATGATAAAGATATATCTTTTAGGTGTTACATATCTTTTGTATGTAACATATCTTTTGTGTGTAACACCTAAAAGATATGTAACACATATCTTTTGTATGTAGCATATCTTTTGTATATAGCACCTAAAATATTATACCAAGGAATTTAATTTATACCTAGGAATTTAATATTTTTGATGCTATGGTAAATGGTATTTTTTAACTTTATGTTTTCTTCGTTGCTATTTGTATATTGACTTCCCTAATGCAGAAGGCAGATTCTTTATTTTCTGTACTATACAATTGTTCATTTTGGATAATGACAATTTTATTTTTTCCTCCTCAATCAGTATGCTTGTTTATTCACTTCCTGTTTCACTGTTCCAGCTAGGACTTCCAGAACAATGTTGACCAGAAGGGGTGACAGCAGTCTTGCCTTGTTCCTAATCTCAGAAAGCACCCTTTCAACATTTCATCACTAAGTAAGCTGTTTGCAGTAGACTTTTCAACATACCCTCTAACAGATTAAGGAAACTCCTTTTTATTCCTTTTTTTATTATTAAGAGTTTTGTTTTCTTTTATTTTTTACTTTTTTAAACTTTCATTTTAGGTTCAGGGGTATATGTGAGTTTTATTTTTAAATCAGATTGATTTTAGCAAATGCTTTTCAAAATCTAATTTTTCTCTTTTATTCTGTTAATGTGATGATTTTTCAAAACTGAAACAGACTTTTTTGGCTTATTTCTCATTTTTTGCTGAAAATCTCAATCTTATTCTTTAACATGGTAAACAAAGGCTTTTTAAATTTTTTAAATTGTTTATTTCATTTCATTTCACTTTTTTTTTAGACGGAGTTTTGCTCTGTCACCCAGGCTGGAGTATAGTGATGCAGTCTAGCCTCACTGAAACTTCCGCCTCCCGAGTTCAAGTGATTCTCATGTCTCAGCCTCCTGAGTACCTGGGATTACAGGCGCATGCCACCATGCCTGGCTAATTTTTGTATTTTTTTAGTAGAGATGGGGTTTCAGCATGTTGGCCAGACTGGTCTCAAACTCCTGATCTCAAGTGATCCACCCTCCTTGGACTCCCAAAGTGTTGGGATTACAGGCGTGAGCCACTGCTCCTGGCTTAAGTTTAAGTTTCATAATGCCAGTATCTGAAGTCCCTATAGGTATATTCTACAGTCTCTTATTTCTGGTCACTTTATATTATCTTGTCTTGTTTCTGAACACTGTATTATTAATATTGTTACATTGTATTTTTAAAATTCTAGAAATAAATTGAAGCCGAAAATGATGTAATCTGCAGAGAATTTGTTTGCTTCTGACAGTCACCTGGGGTTATTAGAATCCAGGATCACCTTAATCTGATCTGTAAAACTGAGACAATCAGGGACTATAATTCAAAGACAGACAACAGTCCCTTCAAAGATTAGCTACAGACAGACTGAAGCACAGAGGGTTTACCAGGAGCTTCTGCCTTTGACAGGCCCTAAATAGATTCCAATGTTTGTCCTCACAGGTGGGTCTTCTGAAATCAGCAAATGCGCCTAGCGGAAAAATGGCCCCAAATGTCAGGTTCACTTCTGTGGTTCTCATTGTTTCCCTGGTTCTTGTTCTGTGATTCTTCACATCTTGCTAGTTGTTCAGCACCTTCAAGTGGTAACACACATACACATACACATACATATACACATACGCACGCCCGCGCGCACACACACACCCCCTCAGCAAGAGGGCTGATCCAAATTATCCGGTCTATCATGGCTAGGAATAGAAGTCCTTTGCAAACACTTTAACTTTTTGTGATATATCATGTTTGACCAGGTTGTTTGTGAGTACAGAAGGCTGCAATCAAAAGAAATTTATCCTTTCTCCTTAGTTAGCAATATCTAACACTATTCATAGCCATTTTTGTAATCAACTTTGTATTAATTTTTCCAGGTTTTTCATGTATCAAAGGTAAGCTTACAATTTTGCAGTTTACAAACCCATATGAGTTCCTTTCCCTTTTCTAATCCTAAGTATTAAACTAGTTCTTTATCGAAAGAATACTGGGTTGAAAGCCAGAAGGCTGAGTTCTAGTCCTACCCCTGTCTAAGCAGCACTGGATCTGGGACAAGATAACTAGCCTTTCTGTTTCTTAAGTTTTGAAACATAAAATGGGTAAAATATTGTATTGCCTTACTCATGGATAATGTGTGCAGAAATAAATTATTTTGCCTACTGAACGGGCAGTTAATGAGTACCTACAAAGTCTAGAAAGACATGATTCCTGCCCTTAAGGAGTTACAGTTACCATATCATAATTCGACAAGGCGCTTGAATTTTAACAGTAACTGAAAGAATCTAGTACTACAAAACCTTTGTTGGTCAGAATTCTTATGGAGAGTGCTCTAGTTGGCCTACATTTTGCTGTTTTGTTGTTTTCTTTAAAAATTTTGTTTTTAGCCAGGACTCCCTTTTTATTTAAAGCTTTGTACAATCATTTTCTAAAATCTATTATTCAGTTGTCTTTACCTTAGTTTTTATCTTTTCAAATACATGTATGTAGTTTGAAAAGTCACCTGACACCTCCTACCCCCAGCTCCTAATTCCTATTCCCAGATATAACTTATTTCAACTTCTGCTATTTATGTCCATATTTCTAATAAAATGGTTAGGTTCCTAGTCTACATTTTTTTTCCATTTTAAAGACCTTATACTTTGAATTTCTATCAACAATTTATCTCATACAATTCAACTAATTAATGAGATATGCAGAACTTGAGTGTATGTCTATTTCCAACTGCATGCTCTTAACTATTAGTCACATAACCTCTCAAGATACCAGGCAAGATATCACAGGTAAATGCAGAACTTACTAAGACATGGTCCCTAACCTCAAGGAAATCACAGTATACTAAAAAGCCGCACAGATACACACATGGTTTGAATATTAAGCAATTTCATAGTTACTTAATAAAACAAGCGAAAGGTCTGTCAACATTTGAGGTGTTAAGAGTGAGAGATTAATGATCTAAGAAAGATTATTGGGAGAGATAGGACTTGATCTAGGTCTTAGCTCAGGGGCACCATACTTAATACTATCCAACCTCCCTGAAGGCTGGGTACTAGATACAATGGTTGGTTGCGTCAACACATAACTCTGACAGCTGTTAATCTATAGCTTACAGACAAAATAAACAATCACACACAGTACCGAGATAGAAGAGATTCTTTAGTATATAAAAATTAGCCTCACCAGTGCAGCCAAATAACGAAGCACCTTGTTATCATTCACCAGCATTTTAATAACATCTTTTTTTGGAGCTTTTGGAATGAGAGCAAAGCAATTCTGAGCAGAATCTTCCACTAGTCCAAAACCATTATAAGGAGGCAACTCCTGGAGATATATAGGAAGCAAGACGTAAGGCAAATGCTACTTGTGTTAAAATTACATTAAAGGTAACTATAAGTTTAACGAAAAAAACTCTAGAAAATACTTATTCAAATATATTTTCTATATAAACAAATACAGTCAGAAAAAACAACTTATCCCCTTCCTCTTTGTGGATTTTGCATCATGTTCAGTGATCACAGAAGTAAGTGATGATGCTCTAAAGTAACTCTCAGGGCTAGAGAGAAACTATTGCTGATGTAAACTGACCCCTTACTACAAAAGTAGGACCTAGTCCCACCCCAGATTCAATGCAAATGACCCTGTAGTCATCCTAGCATGGTTCTGTCTATGACTTCTTTGATCTAGGATGTGGACCTCACCCTAGCAGACCTGGAAACTGTTTCCTCAGTTCACCCAAAGTAAGAAGAGAGAGAGGGGAGGCGCACTGGGCGGGAGAGAGAGAGAGAGTGAGTGAGTGTATGTGTGATAGGGGAACGGTGGTAAGAACTTGATTCAAGCTACTTTTTCTCCTACTTACATCCATATTTCTAATCTTTTTATTTCTTAATTTCTGCCTCACAGAACAGGATGACAGCTATAGTTTTCTGAGAACTCAGATCTCTTTTCCACACAGGACCCCCTTTCTTCATGAAAAAGTTCAATTTAGGAAATTATTTTTCAGATACAAAGGTTATTTAATGAGTTTGCGTGAAGATATAGGTTGAACCTATATGTTTCATTTAGGCTCCATGAAGAGCCTGAAGCATCACTGAAGGATGCTAAGATTTATTTCCCTAAGAACTTTAGGTCAAAGACTAAGTCTTCCTCCTCCTCATCTAATGATAGGCAAACATCGGCAGGGTTATTTATTCCTGACTCCTCTTTGCTCTGCTTTCTCAGGAAATTCAGCTTGTAGCACACATTTTCTCTTGTATATACCTCCACAAAATCTTTTTATATATTATTTTCAGGCACTTTAATAAGTAAGTCCATATAGTCCCTAGTACCATCCATAACAGAGTATTTCTTCAACAACAAAGGACTATTAAATTTGTCCACGGCGTACTACTTGGAACACTGACCCCAAAATCACTTGTTGGGACTGTAGTTAATGTGGTAGTCATGGCTAGAATATGACTAGTAGATTTAGCAGATGGAAAATGACCTAATTTGCTTCAATTGCAAAACCACTACTCAGTGAATTTACAGGTTACTATGGGCAGAGGAACCCTGAGCTGATGGCCTACGTGCTAAGCAGTTGAGTTTTCTCTGGAGGCTAGGCACAAACTGCAAAGTGGTGGTATCTGAACTTGCTTTGCACTTATACCAACAACACACAATGAGAGCATCCTGGCTGCGGGTGCCAGTAGGGAGGTCACTGAGGGTTGAGGATTTTGCAATAAGAAGGTAGCTATAAAGCCTCTGGGCCTTCTTCTCAAATTCCTATTGTATTTTAACAGACTACCTGTTTTTCCTGAATATACCTCACTTTCCCTGCCTGGAATAAAGACCTTCCCTAAATATCAGTCCATATGCATGGTATCCTGGCATCTTGCTTCTCATACTTCAAGCTACTGCTTGGGTGGGTCCTGTTGTAAACTAGATGAACACTCATCTGACTATGGATATCATCACTCCTAGATACTCCCGCTCATACGATCCACTTACCACAGTTTCTGTCTGGACATCTTCAACTGAGCTAGTAGTATACATAGAACCCAAGAGTACCACAACCTTCAGATACTGCTTTCAGGGGCCGTCTCCACAGCAGATTAGCTTTCCTAATTCTGGTTTCTTTCTTTTCCCTACCAGTATGCCTCCAGATGGAGCCAGCCTGAGAGAAAACACATCTGGCTATTGCATTTATGTTTACTAATTCCTGATCTAGCAGAGAAGCTTGACTTACAAGTGCCATGCCTCTCGAATTGAATATATCCATTTCATACCTACTTCTATCCCTCCACTGGCTTGGCTCTAGCTTTATCCCTCTAGACTCTGCTACAAATTCCTATGCCTGGTTTCCATTTATGTTATTTAGGGTTAAAACGACTGAGGTGTAATGACTAAAAAGTGTTTGCTGATTAGTAATTGGCATTCTATTTATCTCCAACAAATTTCATGGACAGATGGAATTTGTTTACTATAGAGCTATTTATTATAGAGAAAGTATGGGAAAGAAACTGACCAAATACTGTAATTGATGTGCCAAATGTATAGATGTTTTATTATATAAAATTAGTTTTATTATACATAGGGGCTGGGATAGAGCAAAATAACCAACTAAAATCTACAGTAGATCTTCAGTTCCCTCTGCTCTTTATACAGGGCTTCCCTCTCTTTTCTTTACTTCAAGATAGGTTAGGAGAAAAAAAAAGATGATAGTAATAAAGGTGGGGAACAGAGGTATTCTAAGACTCAAAAGCTTTCATTGGCTCAAAAATAGATCAGGCCAGTGCAGTGACGCATGCCTGTAATCCTGGCACTTTGGGAGGCCAAGGCGGGTGGATCACCTGAAGTAGGGAGTTCCAGACCAGCCTGGCCAACATGGTGAAACCCCGTCTCTACTAAAAATACAAAAATTAGCTGGGTGTGGTAGCACGACCTGTAGTCCCAGCTACTGGGGAGGCTGAGGCATGAGAATAGCTTGAACCTGGGAGGTGGAGGTTGCAGTGAGCCAAGATTGCACCACTCACTCCTGCCTGGGAGATAAAGCAAGACCCAGTCTTTTAAAAAAAAAAAAAAAAAAAAGGTCGAAGTCCTTTCACTAAGCAAAGGGCATCACTATGTTGCAATCTCTCACTACTCTACCTCCTGGTTAGACAACCATCCTTATCTATAAACTGAAGAGGTAAAATAGTTCCCTTGATCAAAATCTAAATCTGATCCCATGCTATTTTCCCCTGTATACTGCATCAACTGCTGCCAAAAAACTTGGGGGCAGAGGGTTTATCATAATTATTTTTCTTTTCACAATCCATATACACAAGGAGAGGGTTTATCATCATTCTTAATCAATTAACACCTCATTGATAAAGAAATCTACCAGAGAAAAAACTGACAGCAAGAGGTATTATCACCCACACTTCCTTCCAGAAATTGTATTGCCTCTGGCAACTCACAGCATACCAAAATCCAAATCCTTCTTTGTAATCGTTTCTATAAAACATTGTTTCTAAAAGTTTTGCCTAAGACACCACTTCTTTTTTGCAGAACACCTTCATAGCCAATTTTCTTCAGTCCAGTTCAAGAAACATATACCTCCTATTTTTTAGGCACTGTATCAGGTACTAGGAGAGAAAGATGAGTAGGACATAGTCTCCGACCTCAAGGGAGTTACAATCTAGTACAAAAGATTCACTAGCAGATAATTTAATATAATAGAGAAGTGCTAGTGGAAGGAGGCAGAGAATACCCCAGGAATAGAGACGAAAGGCTTTTAGCCCTACCTGGAGCTTTAGAAAAGACTTCTTGGAGAGGAAGCCTACACTGGGTATTGGAGGATAAAAAAGAGCTGCATGTAAGAACAACAGAAAAGTGGTTCAAGGAGGAAGAGCATAAGCAATAGTTCCTGGGAGTAAAACAAGATGCTGTACTGGCAGAAGCACAGAACTCAGTACAACTGGAGGCCAAGTGCAAGCAAGAGGAGCAGCTGTTGGAGGGGAAGGCAGGGCCCTGGCTGGAAGCACTCAATCATTTCATCATTTTATTCATGCCTTTCTTTTGAGGAGAAAGGGCCCAGTGATATTTTACACACACAGTAGTCTTTTAATTTATGAATGGGTGTATTTTAATTATCTTTTAATTGTATGAATAGATGTATTTTCATACATCCATTTCATGAATGGATATCATTTATTTTGTCAATCTCCTCACACTTTTTTTAATAAATAATGCTACAATACACATTCTTCCACATGTTTTTAGAGTTCCCAAAGTATATTTCTAGGTAAAAGATATGAGATACATCTATATCTATATATCATAATATAAACCATATTATGTATGTGTCCTATCATCATATATATCCAATTTCATATATATTATAAACCATAATGATTTATAATATATATATCGAAACAGATATAGCTATGTATTTTTTGAGACAGACTCTCACTCATTCTGTTGCCCAGGCTGGAGTGCAATGACGTGATCTCAGCTCACTGCAACCTCCATCTCCCAGGTTCAAGCAATCCTCATGCCTCAGCCTCCCCAGTAGCTGGGATTACAGGTGCGTACCACCACACCTGGCTAATTTTTGTATTTTTAGTAGAGACAAGGTTTCACCACGTTAGCTAGGCTGGTCTCTAACTCCTGACTTCAAGTAATCCGCCTGCCCTGGCCTCCCAAAGTGCTGGATTACAGTCGTGAGCCACTGTGCCCGGCCAGAAAATATATATGTTATTTATTTATAAAAATAAAATAGACAACAAATTGCCCTTCAGAAAGTTTACTCTAATTGGCTTTCCCACAAACAGTATGAAAATTCCCATTTCTTCATATAGGGCAAACACTGAATATCGTGAATCTTTTAAAATTGAACAGATCCAAAAACATCATTATTTTCATTCTATTTCATTGATTATCAGTTACATTAAGGATCTTTTCATAATTTTTTTGCCATTTGTATTTCTTCTTTTGTGAACTACTGTATTACATATACTTTGTCCATTATTTATCGAATATTTGCATAGAAGTCTTTTTTCTTTTTCTTAAATTTCTACCTCAAAAAATTAGTTTTCTCACCACCCTAAGAAGTACTATCTGATTACCTGTTTTACTGGAGGTGGTTCCTGCTTGTTCACATCAATACGTGGTAAATCAGTGATTCCAAACTTCTCTTTGTAATACCGTCGAGTAAATGGATCACAATCATAAATGAAGAAAGTTCTTCCAAGGACAGTGAGTGACTTCCCAACAATGAAGTCTTTAGCAGTATACCATTCCAACACTTCTTGGTCAGAGATTTCCAGCACACACTGAGGGAAGTTCTCTAATATAAGATGGTGTTAGAGAGAAAAGAAGAAGGAATGAGTGGGTCAAGAAAGACTTGAGAACCTGAGGGAGTGCAGTCTTTTGCTCTGGTCAAGAGTCAGGGTCTCCCCTACATTCCCACTAGAACACATGGCTGTGTATTTCCATCTGTTGATAGGACACATACATAATAAAGTTTTTGTAAAGTCTCTCTCCCATATTCAGCTCAAACTATCACTACAAATCACTAATTTTAGCAAATTAATGCTTAGAAGAAATCACTACAGGAGGAAAGAACAAATGTCCTTCTATAAGGATAAAGTCTTAGGTCTAGGAAAGATCGAAGTCATTTAGCTCAACTTCCCACCCGTTTATCCATTCATCCAACAATTACTAGTGACCATCATGTACTAGGTGCACTGCTAAATACTGGGATTACAATAATTAACACTGTAGATACAATTCCTGACTTCATGGAGAAAATATTCTGTTTAGGGAGACAGATACTAAAAAATTATATAAATAATGGTTTCATTTCAGTTGTAATCACTGCTATTAGGACACTGTAAGCTAGTCCTGGAGATAGGAGGCAGGGACAGTCAATGAGATGATGACAATAATCCATTCATGTGGGAATAAATAATTTCCAAATGTAGAATCAATCTTGCATTTGTGAAATAATTCCAGTCTTGTCTTACTGTTTCATGAGAACTAAGAATTAACTTGTTTAATATTGATTCCCTGGGCCGAGTGCGGTGGCTCACGCCTGTAATCCCAGCACTTTGGGAGGCCGAGGTGGGTGGATCACGAGGTCAAGAGATTGAGACCATCCTGGCCAACATGGTGAAACCCCGTCTCTACTAAAGATATAAAAAATTAGCCGGGCATGGTGGCGGGCACCTGTAGTCCCAGGCTACTTGGAGAGGCTGAAGCTCAGCGGAGGCAATCGCATTGAACCCGGAGGGGCGGGGCGGTGGGCAGTGAGCACGATCTGTCCCTCCCCCAGGTCTGCAGGCAGACAGAGTGACACTCCGTCTTCCAAAAAGCAAGAAAAAAAAAGGAGCTGAGACTGCAGCTTGGCATCCAAGGAAATCTCTAGAGAGTCAATCAGGTGGCTAGTAGCT